TTCCTCCTCCTGGGTGACTGTAGCTTGAGGCTGCTCCCCCACAAAGACCACCTACTGAGACCAGCTAACCAACCTCCTCACTTCTGCTGTATAAGATAAATTTGCCGAGTTTCTCAACTGCTGCTGGCAGCCTCCATCTGAGCACATGGACCACCCAGTCCCAGCTCTACATTACTTGTGCCTCTCATTTCTTCATTCCCGGTTGCCCCAGTCAGATCAAGTCCAAAGCTGGGCAGCAAAGAGTTATTTCTCCTTCCCTGCAGAGAGTTATATTAGTGAAAAGTGCATGCCGGCTAAACAAGCATAAACTTACAGAAAAGATTTCAAATTAGCATGGAAGACAAGTAGCCATATGTAGCAGGGTTTTTCTTTTGAGTCAACCAGCTGCCAAATCATGACACGGAGGCTTCTTATTGGTTATGAATGCTCAGCCTTAGCTTAGGCTCCTTTCTGGCTAGGTTTTTTGTTTTTCTGTTTGTTTTTTTTTAACTTAAACTAACCTGTTTCCGCTTTGTCTACATTTTTGCCTCAGGCCTTTTTACCTTTTTTTTTCTGTTTGTCCTACTCCATTTAGCTGGCTGGGCCCAGGCCGTGTCCCTCTCCTTCTCCCTCGTTCTCTCCTTTCTTCTCTTCCCTCTGGACCCTAGATTTCTCCTCCTATTTACTCTCTCTGTCCACCAGCCTCACCCACCAATCCTTCTGCCTAACTAACGGCCATTCGGCTCCTTATTAGACCAATCAGGTGCCTTGAGCAGGCAAGGTGAAACCAATGTAACACATCTTTGCATAATTAAACAAACCCGGCACAAACAAATGTAACACACCTCCACACAGCTAAAAGAATATTCCACAACAGCCATATTTTAAGGTTGGTATCTTGAATGGACTCCCCAAACCCATAGGATTGTTCTCCAACTTCTGGTGCCATTGGGAAAGGAAGCAATCTTTAGGAGGGAGGGACTAGCGGAAGAAAGGTGTGTCTAGTGTGTTTGCCTCTGAGGAGAGCACAGGGATCCTGGCCACTTCCTTTCTTTGTCTTTGCTTCTAGCCATCTGAAAAGGAACAGCCCTCCCTGCATCCCCCCCCACTCCCACCCCGCCATGTTCTGCACAGCATGGCCCAAAGGCAGTATAATCAACTGCCCACAGACTGAAACCACTATTTAAGATCATGAGCCAAACCAAGTCTTTCCTCTTAAGTTCCTTACATCAGGTTTAACAGTAGCTGACATATACACGTCTCAGGGCACAAGGTAGTGTGAACTAATATCGGCACAGGCAAAACTGCCCACAGAGAACCTTGAAGGATGCCACTGCTGGATTGCTGCTTGAGATGCAGGAAGGATTAAGGCCAGATAAACCGTGTGTACAGCATAAGAAGTTTATTCTCCAGCAGTAAGATCTTGCTCAAGTTAGTGACTGAACAAAAGGCTTATTTCAAATGATGGCTCCATTATTTGATATATTTTCAGCATGCTTTCTTTGAAGTCAAGGTTGCCATGAAAATCAACAGATATGATTTACTCAAAGGCATCTAGGAAATGCCATGAGACAGGAGCTCTTAGAATCAGTTCATTGCAACCTCAGAGCAGCCCACCCTAGGGAAGGTAGCATCACCTCCGTTCTACAGATAATGGGACTTCATTCCAGAAAGGTGACTTGACCTGGTTCCCACGGCCATCAGTGAGCACTATCCTTGTCATGCCAATGTGCCGGGGGCGCACCACCAGGTACGAGATACTCACTGTCTTAGTCAGGGTTGCTAGTGCAGTGATGAAACACCACCCGGACCAAGAGCAACTTGAGAAAAGGGTTTATTTGGCTCACACGCCCACTTCATCATCCAAGGAAGTCAGAACAGGAACTCAAACAGGGCAGGAGCTGATGCTGCCACGGAGGGTGCTGCTTACTGGCTTGCTCATCATGGCTTGCTCAGCCTGCTTTCTTATAGAACCCAGGACCACCAGCCCAGGGATGGCCCCACCCACAATGGCTTGGCCCTTCCCATGATGACTAATTAAGACAATCCCCTACGTGTTTGACTACAACAGGATCTTGTGGAAGCATTTTCTCTACTTAGGTTCCCTCCTCTCAGATGTCTATAGACTGTGTTGACATGAAAGTAGCCAGAACACTCACCTTCTTTGTCAGGCTGAAACTATTTAGTTTTTTAAAGACTGATTTCTTGTATAAGTGTTTTGCCTATATGTATGTATCTGCACCAGAGGTCGAAAGAGGTGTTGCGCTCCCTGGAACTGGACTTAAAAAACGGTGTGAGCGGCCTTGAGGGGACAAGGACCCAAATCAGGGTCCTTTGCAAGAGCAGCAAGTACTCTTAACTCCTGAGTGCATTCTCCAAATCCAGGCTTGAAGTATTTAAAACACCATTCTTGAAGGCTGAAGAAATCCAATTTATGGCACCAAACCAGGCTGACATAATCATAATTGGACATCTAATTGCCCTTTGTTGTTTTCTCTGGTTTGAGGTAGACTGTGTTTGCCTTTTTTGTTTCTAGTGTTCTTTATCATCTCCAGTGCCACAGCACAGGTGAAAGTTAATTTTCTTTCTTTCACAAATAGTTGGATATAAGAGAAGAACGCCAGGGTAAAAAGTATTTTTAGCATAAAAAAAATACTGGGGGACTAATTCATTGCAATTGTGTTGAGACAGGTAATTAGATGTAAACGCGTGGTGGGAAAGCAGGCCCCCTGGACGCCGACAGTTGACGATGGTGACATGGTCACGCTGCTCTTGACACAGCAGTGAACAATTATAGCCTAAGGAATATGCAGACTTAATATTGTTGGTTTTTTTTTTTTAAAAAATAACTTTATCGTCAGGCATGGCGGTATACACCTATACACCTAGCACTTTGGATGCTAGCACAGGAGAGTCATGAATTTGAAGCCAGTCTGAGCTGTGTATGAGACCCTGGGAGCAGAGGACGCGGCTGAGTGCAAGATCTTATATGTGCAGGATCCTGGGTTTAGTCCCCAGGACTGTAAGAGAAACAAGCCACAGCTTTATGAAAATATAATTAACATACAATTACCCCACCTACTTAAAGTATAAAGTCTGATCAGTTTAGACTTATTTCTATCTGTGGAGTCATTAGCATGATCAAGACAAGGCACACAGGGCTGTGAGAGGGCTCTGGGGAGTGTTTGGTGTGCAAATACGGCGACCTTCATCCCCACTGCCCAGTTAGGTCAGCCCCAAGGCTCTGTGGGTCACAGCAGGCAACCATCTTTTCATGTTTGCTTTTGATTTGTCATCTGTATATGTTTTTGGTTGTATATCTCAAATTTACGAGAATCTTCTTCCTTCTCTTTCATTTGGTTGTGGTGGGGGTTTTCCTACTTAATTTGGTAGCTTTCTACTCATCCTCTGTAAGTCCTTCATCAGATGTCAGTGGCCTACAAAGATGTTTGTGATGCATTCTCCAGGACCTGTGCCCAGGTTCTCCGTCACGGCAAAGGGGGCTTTGTCTGTGCGCATGTCTGTATTTGGTCCTGGGAATGGAACTCAGAGTTTCACCGATGCTAAGCAAACTCACTATCGCGGAGCTATATCCTCCACACTCTGACAATTTTCAGTTTTAAAATCATGCTAAGATTTTGATTGGCATGGTTGGAGAAAGAGAGAGCTGGCATCTTTAAAATATTGAGTCTTTTGATTTCTGAATGCACCTTCTAGTCTGTAAGTGTTGTACGGTTTTATTTCTCAGCAGTTTTACAACTTTGGACACAAGTTGTAGCCTTAGTTGTCCTGGAACCCACTGTGTAGACAACGCTGGCCTTGAGCTCCCAGAGATTCACGGCCTCTTCTGGGAATGCAGGCGCGTCCCCCACACCTGGCACCTAACGTTCTGTAGTGTACAGGACTTGGATGAGTTGGCTGAGATGTCACCCTATCGTGAACAATGCTTTATAAATTTTAATATCTAACTGTTCCTTTCTAGTATGTGGAAAGAAAATAAGATTATTTATATTGCTAGCACATCTTTTGAGCTTGCTAAATCACTTGTTAGTTCAGTGTGAATATGTCTTCTTCAAATGGGGGACACCTCGGCTTCTTCCTTCATTGATTTATCAAATTGGTTTAATCACCCAATATAATGTTAATTGGTAAAAGCAGATATCCTTGATTTATTTATGATTTAAAGGGGGAAAGTATTAAGAATTTTACCATTAAGAATTATAGTGGTTGTAGATTTCCTATAGACTCTCTTTATCAAACTGAGAAAATGTACTATTATTTTTGCTTGCTTAGGACTGTTTTGTAATCAGAAATTGATGTAGAATTCTTTTTTATTTATTTATTAAAAATTTCCACCTCCTCCCCTCCTCCCATTTCCCTCCCACTTCCCCCACTTACCCTCCCTGCCATGTAGAATTTTTAAAAATGTTTTTCTATGCAAAAAGAGATGAGTTTTGTTTGTTAATGCAGTATGTTACACTGATTTTAAGATTCATTTTCTTTTATGTGCATGTGTGTGCATGCCTCTGTGTGTGTGTGTGTGTGTGTGTGTGTTGGTATCTGTGGAGGCCCACAGAGGGCATTTGATCTCTGAGAACTGGAGTTTAAGGCACTTGAGAGCCACCATGTGGGTGCTGGGAATTGAACCCTGTCCTTGAAGAGGAGCCAGTGCTCTTAACAGCTAAGCCTTCTCTCCAGTCCTTGACAATTGTGTCTGATATGTCCTTATATACTCAGCATTCATTAAAGGTTCTGGATGCAGCTCACAGTGGGTACTTAATTAACCTTTCAAATTAATCAGGAGCAAAACCACATGAAAAGACGCCACAGAGACATAGCATTTGGGTGCTACCTGGTGGTGGTGGTACAAGCCTTGAATCCCAGCACTCAGGAGGCAGATCTCCATGAGTCTGAGGCCAGCCTGGTCTACAGAGCAAGTTTCAGGACAGCCAAGGCCACACAAAGAAAGAAACCCTGTCTCAAAAAAAAAAAAAAAAAAAAAAAAAAAAAAAAAACAAAGTAAAAAAGTTACATAAATAGAAAAAAGAAAATAAATCTCTCTTAGTAATACAGTGTTGGTGCTTTTGAAACATCTCTGTTTAGGGGGGATTTCTCTAGGAAAGCAAGGAAAAGCCAGAGCTATCCCATGTCTGCATGACTTGTAGTCACCCTGAGCAAAGTTAGATGGCACAGAAAACAAGTGGCCCTATGATTTGCCCACAGACACAAAGCGTTGGTATTTTAGTTAAACACTAGAAAATAAAGAAAGAGAACAGTTTCACCTCTTGGCCTGTACCTATGAAGAAATACAGCCTCTCCTGAGAACCACAAACTGCTTTGCTCCCACCACCAGCCCTGCCTCACCTGTGTTAGGAAACACCTGTCTGCCTGCAGGGCAGTCTCTTTTTGAACACTTGATACAAATTAAAATTTGCCTCCAGGGACTCCAAAGGTTCTTCTGTGTCAAAAGCTAAGAGAGAGGCCAGAGCCTGTGATGAATGCCCAGTATTTAAAGGTGGATGCGGCATAATTGCTAAAGAGCTGCTGGGGAGGGGTCGCTTTTCTCTGGGGACGGTGACTGGCAGGTCCCCCAGGTCCCAGTGGACGGCCCCACACTTGCACACATGCAGGTGGCATTAACTGGACTCAACGGGTCACTAAAAACGTAAGTTTAAGTTGGAGATGTGTTGGCGAGGAGCTGGAGGCGGGGACTGGAGAAAGGGAACAGGAAATGAATAAGATCAGGCGCATTGCACGCGTGTGTGAATATCTCAGAGAATAGGTTCAACAAGCTGGTGTGTGTCTCCCATCACCAAGAAAGTCACGGGGTTGGTCACCGAGGCTTAAAAGTAACAGCACAACTGTATCTGTACACAGAGCGCCCTAATGGAAGGGGCACCCGCTCTCCACACACAGAACGTCCCTAACAGGAAAGGGGGTGCCCATGCTCTGCACACAGAGCGCCCCTGAAAGGGAAGGGAGCTCCCATACAAATCACTGGTCCTTTGTGAAGCTGCATTTCCTCTTGACTGACCAATTTTTAAAAGATGCCTTCTCTAGGCGGGGTAGTTAAATCCCCGGGTCAGACTAAAATTTTACTTTTACTTATGCCCAAGTGGAAGACCTGCATGCAGAATCTGAAGCTTGTTCTTGCCTCTGTCCTGCCATTTCTTGTGCTAGCCAATAGGATCTGGGGTGGGGGCAGACCCACGGAGCGCTCGCGTGGAAGCGGGGTCCACTGGGGTCAAGCTGCCCCTGTGACTTTCTAACAAAATCTCTGACGTTTCTGGTTTCCACTGTTAGTGTCACACTCAGTATTTCAGCGCACACAAACACACACAAGCATGCGCGCGTGCAGCGTCCCCACGTATTATTAGCTAGATGGCAGAGGATCTGAGGGACTTGTCACAGGAAGCCCTGGGCAGCTGGAGACGTTTCTGCCAGTACCTGCATTTCAGAGCTATGACTTATGGACAGAGACAAGAGGACGTCAGTACCTTTGAGCAAAAACACAACCCTCCAGTGACCCCTCTGGCAGTACATCAGAGGTTCCGCAATCCACCTTCAGGCAACAACTTGAGGCCAGCCAGACATGACGGGAAGAGCCTGTGCCTGGCTCAGCTTCGAATACCTGCACTGCCGTGCAGGGCCGCTGGCTTAACACATGCGCATCCAGCCCTAAACTGTGTCTGATTCACAGTCTGGCTGGACGGTCCCTGGGAACGTGCAGGGGAGAGCCCACCTGTTGCAAAACTTCCTTTTGATCCAGGATTGTCTGTAGGGTGTTCCTGGGGGTGGTGCGAGCCTCTCACGAGCCCGCTTCGAAGTCAGCTGAGGTTTGTTCGGACAAAGGCCATGCTGTCGCCAGCCTCGAAGAAAACAGCCACACTGCTGCCTCTTCAGGGTCGTCACCGGTCGTCACCAGCAGCTGTTTGGACTTGGACAAGCACAGACTTGGGCCCTCTCTTGTCTGGCCTCACTCACCAAAATTTCACTGAATAAGTAACAATCTCAACAAACGAGAAAGATGATTTAGGTTCCTAGAAAAAAAAAAAAAACAAATTATGTTAACATGCCTGCCTGCCTCCCCTCCTTCCTTCCTTCTTTCCTTCTTTCTCTCTGAAGTACTTATTAGGTTGGGAGGCTGGGGGTAAGCACAGACTCTCTTATTGATAGTGAATGCAGATCAAGGAATATTACTCAGTAGATAGAAACAAAGGCTTAGAAACAAGGCCTAACTCAGTGGTAGGGTGTTTGCCTAGTCAAGGGCTCAGTCCCCAATCCTGCAGTCAAGAAACCAAGAAGGCAACGTAACCATACCCAAGGATCGGGGATCACTGTGGAAGAGGGGCAGAAAGGCTGTGAGAAAGAAAGGGCCTGGAAGATTCCAAGAGTGTCTCTCAGAAATGCCAGAATCCATACCCGTGAAGTCTCACCAACATAGCTACCAAAGCATAGCCTCAGCAGGACAGTACCAGTGCACATGGACATGATAGCCAAACCCTCAGCCCTGCATAATAAAGAACTACAGGCAACCAAGGAGAGCTGAGAATGGGGGGAATAGCCTTCCCCAGCGAAGAGCACACCCATCAGATGTCCAGTCTCAATGTGAGTCCTGAAAGCATATATATGTAAGTAATATTAGAGGAACTAAGGGGGCGATGCTTAATATTTAAGAATATATATATACACACATATACATTTCTAACAGCAGTAGTTAATTTTTAAAAAAAAGAGGTCATAAATTTGAAAGAGAGCAGGATGGTGTGGGGATAATACATGGTAGAGCTTTGAGGGAAGAAAGGGAAAGGGAAAATGATATAATTTTATCATAATCTCAAAAAATAAAAATATTTTAAAAAGAAGGAAATGTGAAAAGAAATGGAGAAGAGAAGAAAAAGCTAGGTGAGCAGGGCGAGAGAACAGAGTGTGAGTGTGAACCATTGCCTGAGGTACACTCCAGCCCAGCCACCACAAGATACTCACGCTGTACAAAGGCCAGTGCTTGGTCAGTGCCTGGTCCAGCGTCAACAGCAACGACAGTAACGTGCTTCTGCCTTCTTCCCTCTGGCCTTCTAGGAACCTGTCTTTAACGGCCTGCTTTGAAGTCAGAAAGGCTTTTAAAAAACATTGCTCTTAAGTCCAGATGAGCTACGACGCCCTGCACCACTTCCTCTCAATCCACTTCAGAACAGTGACTGGGCTCTTGCTGGGTGGGAGCCTCTTGCGATAGGTCCAAATGGTGGTGGGAAGAGGGGGGCTAGAGAATGAATGTCTGGTCCCAGGCTTCAATGAGCTCAGACCAACAGGCTGGGGGGGGAGGGGCGGTGAGTACTGAGCAGCAGGCAAGTAGAAAGAGGTTCATAGGACCAGCAGGGGTTTGGGAAACGGAGATGGTGAGCTGCAGGGGAGCATGAGGGTGTGCAGTTTACCCATCTGGGCGGGAATGGCGGGGTGAAGGGTTTCAGGGTGAAAGCGTTGAGATTCTAAAAGAAGGACAGCTGAGCCAAGTTTCAGAAGAAGAAATTGACACTTCAGGGCAGCAAAGATTAAGGTGGGGATTTGGCCCGAGAGTGCTTTGGACTGCCGTGAGAAATGTGAGAAATGCGGCGGAACAGTTAGGCTTTGGAAAGACTCTGAAAGATTTTGAGGCCCAGACGAAAGGCTTCGACTTCGCATAGAAGAACACTCATCTTCCAATCTATCTTGTATGTACCAAAATCCAACACGGCATCCGCTTCTCAGAGTTCCTGAAGCTCTAGATGAGAGCAACCCCAACACAAGGAAGTTGGGAGGAAGACTGAGAAAAACTCTTCCTGCCCAATAGGTAAAGAAGACATCACAAGGCCATCGTGATAGGGTTGGAGAGAGGACGGGTGTTCATCACACTTGTTGCTCTTCCTGAGGACCCGTTTGGTTCCAGCACCCACATCAGGTGACTCACAACTGTTGGGAATCTGGTACCCCTCTGGACTCTACAAGTACCTGCGCACATGGGACATAACACACACATATCCTACTAAAAACAGAATCCTTAACAAAAAAATTTTTTTAAAAACTTAGGTAATGTTCAACAAATGTGATGGACAATGATTCCTTTAGGGAATCCCATGGAATGCAGCATGTAATCAGGAGGCCTCCATCGAGAAGGAGAGGTGAGATTAGCCCCACGACACGGACCATGTCACTGTGTGGAAGTACTAGGACACTGGAATAACTCTTTGTGAGAACGTCAGTTCCAGTCATGAGGCATCCCTAGGGAGGAACTGGGGACTTCTTTCCAGATACAGAGAGCCCGCTCAGTCAGGGAGCTGTGGTATTCGCAGCAGGTGGCGCATACGACCTGAGAGGTGAACCAGTGTTCCGCTCTATGGCTATTCACGTTGACAAGATGTCTCTCTCTTCTCTAGCTCTGGACTCCGTAGACTCGGGGCCCCACCCTCACCGGGCACACAGCACAGTGACTAGCGAATCCTAAGCTCTGACTGCTCCCATGGCTCTCCTGGTGACTTCTTGTGACTATGGACTGACAGCGATGTCAGTGTGAGGGCTAGGGTGATTGACCACGTGAGGGGGTAAAACCATGAGAGCCTAGCAGTTTGCTTCAAGCCTAAAAATGATATAATGTTTTGTTTGTAAACTCTTTTAATGAAATAGACAATAGTCATATCACACAATTTTTCTGGCTGAACATGATTTTGAGAATAACTCTACTCGAGGTCATTTAGGTTCGGGGGTGCAAAAAAAATACACATTCATGTGGATTGGATTGTGGGATATTATTAGTAGTTTAGAAATTAAATAAAATTAGACAACCACAAGACAGTCATTAGAACAACCAAAAGAAAAGTTAAAATTAATGTAAAAACACAGAATTGATTAAACTATCAAAGTTGTAGAATAAAACCCAGGTATGTTTCTATACACTTGTAACCCCAGCACCCAGGAGATGAACACAGGAGGTCATTTTTGACTACATAGTCAGTTTGATCCTTGGCTATATGAAGCCCTGCTCAGAAAAACAAAACAAGACAGACACAATTTGGGGAATGAACAGAAAAGGTACAGAGTGGAAACGGAACAGTGAATGTCCAGCTGATGTTTCAGGAGCACAGCGGTACAGAGCTGCAAGAAGGAGATAAGAGCACAAGAGCAGAGGTCAAGTTAGACATCCCAAAAGGAAAGGGCCATAGAACCATCACTTCATCACACAAATCTCGGAAAGCGGAGCTGGAAGGGGTGGTTTGTGGACAAGGTTGTTCCGGGAGAAGGGAGTGATGTAAACAGCAAGATGGACAGGCTTGAAAACAGAAGGCATACATCTTTAAAATCCAAATTAAAAAAAATGTTATATGTAACTCAAAATTTATCTTCTATACGTGCACAACCTTTACCAAATATTAGGAAATTAAAGCTTGGAAATACCTCCTATGGAGCCGTTCAGCTTTGGCACTGAAACAGAGAGAAAGGGGCAAGGAGAGAGATCCTCAGAAGAAAAGGTGATCACATTTAGAAACGTGATTAAGTTTCCTAAATAAAATATTAGCAAACCAAATCTAATGTCCAAAAAGTACATCATGACTAAGTCATATGCATATCCCAAAAATGTGTGAATTATTATTAGTAAATACATAAATGTAAGTCAACCAAAACAATGAAGGAGGGGAACAATGTGGTCATTTCAACAGATGTAGAATAAAAACTTACTAATAAGTTACTGAGGTCCTCAGGCTCGCACAAGTACCTTTCCCGCTGAGCCATCTCACCAGGCTCCTTAAAATACCATTTAAAATGAAGAATATTGAAAATATTCCTTTTAAAATTAGGAACAATACAAAAATATCCCTTTCTAGTCAACGTTGTATTAAACATTCAAATCCAGCACAATAAACCAAGAGTAAATAGTAACAGAGACAGGGTTGAAAGGAACAATGTCATTTTTATAAATGACATACATACCAAAAAATTTTTAAATACTCAAATTATTGAAATTAATAGTTTGGCAAGGTGATAAAACGCAAACTCTTACTTGTTTATATAGACCAACCACAAAGGGAAAATGACCACCCAATGTCCATTTATGGCTCTCTGGACATGCAGGCCATGCGACCAGACCTGGAAATGATATGCTAACCTCTTGGCTTTGCCCTGTCTTCCCTTGGACCTTCTCCAGGTGCCTAACTCACTGCCACACCTTGAGACTTTCTTTGGGCAAGAGATCTGTTCACTTCATCTTTGTTCCCAATTCACCTGGCACCATATCCCACCTCAAGACTCCCCCACAGGGTCCTAGTAAGAGAACAATTCGCCTTGACTCAGAACCTTCAGGATTCCCTGAACACCAACCCCACTGCCCTGCCTTAGAACTCTGACCTTGTGGGTCAAGGACTCATAGCAAAATACACAATCAGTGACCTAACTAAAGATGTCATGATTCTATCTCAAAAGACACACACACACACACACACACAAATGAAAATGCTACATCTCCACCAAAATGGCTATTTCCATAGTAATGATCACTGATGGGAACAACTTGGATGAAATTCAAGACACAGAATTCAAAAGAACAATTATAAAAGTAGTCAAATAACTCAAAGAGAACATGAAAAAAGCTTCTTTAAAAACACTTTAAAAACTTTCTAAAAAAAAAAAAAAAAGAACTGGTTAAAGTCCAAGTAAACAAACACACAGCTGGATAAAATAAGAGAACTTCACTGAACATTTCAACTGAATGAAAAGATAGAGATACTGAAGGAAACTCAGACTAAAGGCAAGCTGTAAATGAAAAATTCATCAAGTCTAATAAAAATGTTCAGTGGAAGTTTCCCTAACAGGATGGATCACATAGAAAGCAGAGCATTAGGGCCTGAAGGTAAGGTAGAGAATTAGGTCACTCAATCAAAAAAAGTGATACATTTCTTAAAAACCTGCACATGGAATAAGCAAGAACCTTGACACACTGGGAAAAGATCAACTCTATGACTTATGAGCATAAAAGAAAGAGGAATCCAGATCAAAAGCATAGGAAATATTTCCAGTAATATCATAGAAGAAACTTCCTAAGTCTAGAAAAAGATGCCCAGTCCCCATAAATAAGAAGCACACTGAACACCAAACAGACAGGTCTGGAAAGTAAGCAACCACATCATATTATAGTTAAGAGACTAAACATACAACATAAAAAGTGCTTTGACAGCACCTGCAGGGAAGATTCAAGTCCCATAGAAAGACAGCACCAACAGAACGCATCTGGTTTCTCAGCGAAAAGTTTAAGAACATGAAGAGTCTGGAGCAACATGGTTCGAGTTCTGAAAGACCATAGATATGAGCCCCGACTACATCTCCCGGCAGAACTGTTCATCATAACTGAAGGACAAAGAAAGGTTTTCATGGGAGAAACAGGCTAAGAGAGCTGGTGACTGACAAGCTGGCTCTGCCAAGAATCCTGGAAGGAACGGTTCACACTGAAGAAAAGAATAAGCACTCTGAAGAGGCTGCAGAAAACAAACAAACAAATACAAAACACAATAAGTGATGGTAGAATAGCTGTCATACAAAGTAGGACTAAGAAAGCAAACACAACGAAACAACAACAATTAATAGACTCCTCTCAGTGAGAATACTGACTATTACTGGCCTCAATTTCCGATTCAAAAGACAAAACCTAGCTGATTGGATTAGAAAGCAGGATTCAGGGCTCGCAGGATGGCTCTGTAGTTAAGGCTAGTCCTCAAGCCTGAAGGAAGAGCTGACTCCCTACACACCCTACACATTCTTCCTTGACTTTCACAGATGAGCTGTGGCATGTGCACACGCACACACACATTCATATACACACATTCATATGTATATGCACAAGTAAATAAATAAATGTCATTAATTTTTTTTTTAAAGAAACAGGCTCCATCTTTTTGTCATCTGCGGGAACCACACATCACTGTCAAAGATGCCCTCTCCCTTAGAACAAAAGGATGGAAAAAAGTATCCCAAATGGAGCCAGGAAACAAGCAAGAAGCATTATGATAAATCTGACAAAATAGATAAAACTAATCAGAAGCAATTCAAAGGTCACTTTATTCAGATCAAAGGAACATTTCACCAAGAGGACATTACAATTCCAAACACATACTCACTAAACTCAAACGGTGACTTGAATATTCTACTTTTGTCAATGAATAGATCATCCAGAAAAAAATTAATAGAGAAAACATTGGAGCTAGGTATATCATAGACAATAGACCCAAAAGATACCTACAGAAATATTCTACCCAAACACTACAGAAGGTACATCTGAGAAACTCTTGGAAGTTTCTCTAAAGTAGACTACATATTGGGACACAAAGAAAGTTCCCCCAAATTAGAAAAAATGAAATGACTTCATGAATTCTATCTGATCACATTGTAACAAATCTTAAACAGAAAAAGAAATTCCATAAATACACAAACTTATGGAGACAAACATCATACTATTAACTGGAACATTGAAGAAATCAAGAAAGAAATTTTAAAGATGTACACAATATACAAACCTTTTAGATATAGTGAAAACAGTCTTAAAAGGGGACTTGTACCTCTAAGTTTCTACATTTAAAAATATCAGGAATAGCACAAGTAAAAACCTTAGTGATATACTTCAAGAGTGGAAAAACAAGAAGAATCCAAACCTAAAACAGTAAATGGAAACAAATAATCACAAGTGGAAATTAATAAAATAAAAGCAAAATAATACAAAGAATTAGTGAAATGAAGAATTAGCTCTTTGAAACTTTTTACAAGACTATCAAACCCTTAATCAAATTAACCAGTGGATGTAAAGGAAGATTCAAGCGAATAAAATTAGAGATGAGTAGGGAGACATCACAACAGATACCAAGGGAATTCAGAAAGATCATAAGGACATGCTCTGAAAACCTATATTCCAATAAGCTGCTAAACCTGAAAGAAATAGATGAATTTCTAGATACATCTGACTGACTCAGGAAAGTTAAATCAAGATGACTATCAACAATTTAAACAGACCTACAAGTGAGGGATTGAAGTGGTCATAAATAGAGTCTACTGGAGTTGGAAAGAGGGCTCAATGATTTAGAGCACTCACTGCTCTTGCAGAGGGTCCGGGTTTGACCCAGCGCTCACATAGTGACTCACAACTGTCTGTTACTCCAGTTCCTAGGAATCCAACCCCCTTTTCTGGCCTCTGAGAGCACAAGGTTACAAGTGATGCATACACAGGCATGCAGGCAGTACATGCATACATATAAAATAAAGTTTCAAAACATTTTTTATAAAAATCTACTAACTAAAAAAGCTCAGGTACAGGTGGATTCACAGCAGAATTTTACCAGACCTTCAGAAAAAAGCTACAACAGTGCTTCTAAGTGGTCTACAAAAAGAAACACAGGGGCTAGAGAGATGGCTCAGAGGTTAAGAGCACTTGTTGCTCTTCCAATGGTCCTGAGTTCAATTCCCAGCAACCACATGGTGGTTCACAACCATCTGTAATGAGATCTGGTTCCCTCTTCTGGCCTGCAGGCATATATGCAGGCAGAACACTGTATACACAATAAATAAATAAATTTTTTTTTAAAAAAAAGAAACACAGGAGGCACTTCCAAACTCCTTTTGTGAAGCTATTGTTACTCCATCAGTAAAGGCAGATAAAGACACAGCAAAACAAAAAAGAACTATAGACCGAAACCCCTCATAAACAAAAATGCAAAAATTCTCAACAAAATAATTGCAAGCTAAATATAGGAACACATTTTTAAAAAATCATTGACCATAATCAAGTTGGCTTTTATTCCAGAGATGCAGGAATAGTTCTGCCTAAGTGGCTAAATATAACAAATAATATAGATGGAAATGAAGACAAAAATCACATGACCATCTTAATAGATGCAAAATCAACCTTTGACAAAAAACCCAACATCCTTTCATAATAAAAGCCCTAGAAAGATTAGTGTTGGAAGAAACATACTGCAACACAATAAGGCTCCATACAAGCAACTCATGACAAACTGTCATAAATGGAGAAAAACTCACTCATAACATTGTCCCCACTTCTTTTTCATATAAGACAAGAGAAGGAACTAACAGGGATACATATAGGAACATAAGTCAAACTATCTTTGTTTGCCAATGATATGATCATAAGAAACCCTAAAGATTCCACCAGAAAACTCCTAGAACTTTTAGAAAACTGGCAGAATACAAAATTAACATACAAAATGTTGTTTTTCTGTTGGCTTAGTGGCAACACCTGGATCTACTAGGGTTTTTGTTGTTGTTGTTGTTGTTGTTTGGTTTTTCGAGACAAGGTTTCTCTGTAGCTTTGGAGCCTGTCCTGGAACTAGCTCTTGTAGACCAGGCTGGCCTTGAACTCACTGAGATCTGCCTGTCTCTGCCTCCCGAGTGCTGGTATTAAAGGCGTGCGCCACCACCACCTGGCCTTACTGATGTTTTAACTACTGCTCTGCAGACAGATGTTGGGGTAAAAACCTGACAGCTCAGAAGGGTCAAGAAGTAACCAGCTGAACTTCCTTTGGCTGCAGACCCAGGTCTCTCCATTTGTTCCAAAACAAAAAGACCAAAAAAATCTCCAAGTCCCTCCCTACTCCTTCCTGTGCATCTTGCTATCCTTCTTCCAGGGTCCTTGGATTTGGTGTGGCTAATTCTTGTGGACTAGTTGCTGGCTCAAGGCTGATTTTATTAACACAGTCTCAGGGTTTTGCAGAGCAATCAAACATCCTGCAACAACAAAAACACAATGAGAAAGAAAATAGGAAACAATCCCATTAACAATAGCATTAAAAAATAGGCAAGGAGGTGAAAGACCTCTATAAGGAAAACTTTAAAACTCTTAAGAAAGCAATAGAAACAATCAAGCATATAGAAAAGCCTCCATGCTCATAGGCTGGTAGAATTAATATTGTGAAAATGACCATCCCCCCAAAAGCAACCTGTAGATTTAATATAATCCAAATCAAAGTCCCTGTGCCATCCTTCAAAGAAAGAAATCTTAAAATTCATATGGAAAGGTATTACTATACCTAGTCTTGAGTTATACTACAGAGCATAATAACAAAAACACCATAATGACTGACATAAAAACGGAAATGTAATGGACTAGAACAGAAAACTCAGATTTATTTCTGTACAATTACAGCTACATTTAACAAGGATGTCAAAAATATACAGAGGACAAAAGACATCTTCACCAAACAGTGTTGGGAAAACGGGACGTGAACGCGTAGAAGAACAAAACTAGATCCTTATCTTCCATCTTATCAAACAATCAGCTCCAAAGAACTCCACATAAACCTGAAACTCTACCGCTAGAAGGGAAGTTAGAGAGCGTCCCAAGATATAGACATAGATAAGGACTTTCTAAATAAGACTGGTCACCCAGGAAGTAAGGCAAACAGTTGACAAACAGGACCTCACGGAACCTAAAAGCTTCTGTACATAGAGGAATCAGTCACTTAAGCAAAGAGACGGTCACAGAATGTGGGAAAATCTTTACCAGATATATATCCCACAGAGGGTATGTACCTAGAAAACACAAAACCTCAAACAACAACATATCAAGAAAACAGCGCAGTCAAATAACGGGCTGTAGATCTGAACAGAGAATTCTCAAGCGGCTTTGTTAGTCTGTGTTCCTTGGGCACTACAGAACATCTTCTGTTGACGAGCATGCGCTGTAATAAGACCTTGGATTGAAAAGCATGACCTGTGTGTTGAAGGATATCACATATGATTATTTACTTTGATTGTTTTTTAATTTTTCTGTATTATCTAATGATAGCCTTAGAAAATAAAATCATAATGCTTGTTCTTTGTATTGATTTGGATAGAATAATATGAGAAGGCAACTTGATTAAATTTGAAATTGAAAACTTTTTTTAAATCAATTTATAACAACAGTTAAAATGTATTTAAGAATAAATCTCACAAAGTGCAAGACTTTCATGGCTATCCTATAAAATTATATTCCAAAATGTTAAAGAAATTCTTGGTGTATTGAAACTGATCTTACATTCATGAAAAGGAAGTACAGTTTATCTTGATTGTCAACTGGATTAGATGAAAAAGGCCTGGGAGGTCAGGACAGCATAGCATTGGGTGTGTCTGTGATGATGTGTTCAGGGATGGGAAGCTGCCCTGAATGTGGGTGGCACTGCCCAGTAAGCTGGGAGGCCCGCTAGCACAGGGGTCCTTTCCCACCATGCTTGCTGACCGCCATGATGTGGACAGTGTTACACCGCTCTACTGCTTTGCCTCAAACAATAAAGCCAGAAATTCATAAGTAGCTCTCTGCAAACATGATCTGAAATTAATCTTTCTTCCCTGAAACTCTTATTTCAGATGGGTTACAGAGACACAAAAAGTCTGGACAACACAAGACAAGACTGTTCTAAATATTTTAACACTCCCCAAATTGATTTACAGTTTCAACACATCGTAATTAAAACCCCCATGATGCTTTTGGTGGTTCTTGACAACTGATTCTAATACCTGTTCAGAAGGATCAACAGTATGGTCTGTTCTCCTGTGTGGTGTGGTATAGTGAGTATGGTGTGTCTGTGTTGTCTATGTGTGTGTGTGTGTGTATTGTGTGTCTGTGTTGCATATGCATGTACAGGTATGCTGGGGAGGCATGAATGAGCACATGTGTATGCACAGGAGTGGATAGCAGAGGTTGCCACTAAGTGTCTTCTTCTATTGTTGGCCATCATACATTTTGAGACAGGATCTTTCACTGAACCAAGAGATCACTGATTGGACTGGCTAGTGAGCCCTGGAGTCTACCTGTCTCTGCCTCCACAGTGCTGGGGTAGTAGATATGTACGGATGTACCTGGATTTTATGTGGGTTCTGAGGATCTGATCTCAGATCCTAATGTTTGTGCAGCAAATACTTACCTACTGAGTTATCTTCCCAGTAGGCTTCATAAAGAACAAATCAGGTAAATTTCCCATTTGATGTTAAAACCTTGACAGTTATGGCAATTAGGAGAGTGTTGTTTTCGTGTAAGAGTCAACATGTTGATCAGCGGGTAGAACAGGCAGCTCAGAAACCAGAGAAGTGGGACATGGCAGAGGCTGTACTGCAGGTCTGTGAGAGAAAAATAAGACCATCAGTCCAGCTGGCCGAAGTGGCCGTGCCTGCCGTTAGTGCCAGCCTTCAGGAGCCAGAAGCAAGTGAAGCTCTATGAGCTGGAGGCTAGCCTGATCCCATAAAGTGAATTCTAGCCCAGTCAGAGCTATACATTCTGACCCTGTCTCAAAGCAAACCAAGACCAATTAGTGTACTGGGTATCTTCCAATAAGGGTGGAGTATTGCTGCATCAATATTCTAGAGCTGCAATAATATGGGATTATAAGTCAGAGTTCTTAAATGTTATAAATTTATTTTCTCACAGTTCTGGAAGCTAGAAGTGCAAGATCCAGGTGCTGGCAGGGTCCATTTCCAGAGACCCATCCAGTCTCAGCTTACAGATAGCCACTGCTTTCGGAGTCCGCACGGCACCTTCCTCTGCTCACACCCATCAATGGTGTGTCACTTTCTTCTTAAAGACCTGCCCTGATGACCCCATTTCACCTTAGTTGCCTCCTTAAGCCCAGTCTCCAAATCCAGTCACACTGTGAGAGAAGATACAGTTCTGTTAATAACCCCTACTATGTGCAAATTGAAAGAAGAAATGCGTTCCAGATCATCCAAGGACTCGGTGTTAAACACAACACTTCAATGAGTGAAATGTCCTTTCTGTATATGTGTTGCTTTTATTGGCTAATGAATAAAATTGTTTTGGCCTATGGCAGGAAAAATATAACCAGAATATATATATATATATATATATATAAAGATAGTAGGTGGAGTCAGAGAGATGCCATGTAGCTGCCCAAGGAGAAGGACATACCGGAACCTTACCAGTAGGCCACAGACTCATGGTGATACACAGAATAATAGAAATGGGTTAATTTAAGATGTAAGAGTTAGTTAATAAGAAGTCTTAGCTGGGCGATGGTGGCGCACGCCTTTAATCCCAGCACTCGGGAGGCAGAGGCAGGCGGATCTCTGTGAGTTTGAGACCAGCCTGGTCTACAGAGCTAGTGCCAGGACAGGCTCCAAAGCCACAGAGAAACCCTGTCTCGAAAAACAAAACAAAACAAACAAACAAACAAAAAAAAGAAGTCTTAGCTAATAGGCCAAAGAGTATATAATTAATATTACGCCTCAGAGTGGTTATTGCATAAGCAGCTGCAGGAGCTAGTGAGCGGGACCAGGTGGGTAGAGAGAAAGCAGTCCAGGTTTATAGGAGAATATTTGTAGCTACACGTCGAGACGTCGAACAGAAGGTAACATGGGTCAGCAACCCCTGAGAGAGAAATTATCAAGGTAAGGCTCAGGAAGCCCCCAGTTTAGTGCTTGGAAAGTTGCCAGGTTGAGGTACTTAAGAGCAAATCACAGCCTGGTGCCTCCTGGAGTTGAGGAGACACAGGTGGGTATGTAGAGAGACCAAGGCAGCCAGAATCTGTAGGCTCAAGTGCCAGATGGAAGTCACTCAGACGAGTTTGAGATATCCGCAGAGGAGATCCCATGAGTTTTCAGTGAATTGCTGATCTGTGCGCGCTTATGCTGATGACCACAGAAAGGGCAACTGAAGGTCTGTGAAATGGTGAAAAGCAATGCTTCAGTAACACAGCCAAACTGGCCTAGAGTCTGCTTTGGTTTTCCCTAAGAAATCTTAACATTAAGTCCTGGAAATTGTCAGTCTAGCTCCTGGTGCTTAAATGAATCCTAGAACAATGTCTGAGAACATTCTAAGAAATACCCAGAGTGTAGCAGCAGGGTATGCCATCAAAATTCCCAGAAGAAAATAGTTCAAAGATGAGGAGGAGAATTCGAGAGTGAGGATGTTAAGGCAGCACGCCAATATACTCCATATGTCCTAGACAGTAAAATACAAACAAAACAAACATTTTTAGAATAGACATGAAACAGATTTTTTTAAAGACCCAAACAGAGCAAAAATAAGAAATGCAAGATTGAGGTGGAAAATGCATTCGTGAGATTGAAAGAAGAGTGGAAACTACAGAAAAAGACTAGTAAATTTGAAAACATAAGAGCGGAAACTATTCCAAATAAAACAGAAGTCAAGGAAAACAGTATGAGGCTGAATACGTAACAATGTACTGGAGTCTCTGAAAGAGGAGAAACAGGGAACACAGGAAAGTGCTGAAAATCGTGACTAGCTGGAAGCAACTCCAAGCAGGCAGAATACTGTTGCAAGTATCATAATACCTGATCTCAAGTTATACTCCAGAGCTATAGAGACAAAACCTGCACAGCACTAGACTTCTCTCTTCCCCACTACCCCCCCTCTCTCACACACACACAGAGAGAGAGAGAGAGAGAGAGAGAGAGAGAGAGAGAGAAACTAATACATAATTCACACAACTAGACTCTATTCAACAAATTATCTCATCAAAACTGAATATCTACTTACAAAAGAATGAAACTAGGTCCACATCTGTAATCCTGCACAAAATCAATTCAGAGTGGACCAAAGACCTTGGGTTAAAGCAGAAACACTGAAATTGCTAGAGATGAGCATAGAACACACTCTTTCAGATAGATGAGCAGGAAAGACTTTTCTGAACAGGACTCCAATGCCACAGGAAATACCTCAAAATTAGCAAATGGGACTACATGATATCAAAAACTCTGTGCACAGTTAAAAGAGCTATGAGCAAGGTGAACAGACATCCCACAGAATGGGGAAGAACCAGATAGGTGACTAATATTTGGAAAATTTATATAAAGAACTGAAAATTTAAACATTACTTTTCTACTAAAACTGACAATTAACAATGGGCTAATAAAATGAACAGTTTTCAAAAGAAGAAATACAAATGGCCAACAAGTGTTTTTGAAAGCATTCAACATCCCTAGTCATTAAGAAAATGCAGATTTGGAGACCTCAAACCAGACCAATGACTCTTCGCAAAGAACACTTGAAAGTAAAGAAAAATGGATAAAGGAGTTTACCCTATGACTTACTGTGTCACACTGTAGCTTCCACGAAGAGATTTTTACTTTTTTTTCCTTTCTTTCTCTTAAATTTTGTTTTATTTTGGTGGGGTTGCAGAGGGTAGAGGGAAGATACAAAGGGACAAGAAAATGAATGAGATCAAAATGTGCGATGTCAAAGACACATTGAATAAATAAAAAGAAAGTTAAAATGCAAATTAAAAATCTTTGAGATTCCATCTCGTGACAGTCAAATAGCTATCACCAAGAAATCTAACAGTAGCCTGCTGAGTATCTGGGAAATCTAAGAGCAACCCTGCTGAGTGTCAGTACTGGTGGGACTGTACACAAATGCCCATTACACCTCCTGCTCTTCCAGAGGACCCATGTCCAGTTCCCAGCACCCATATCAGGTGACTCACAAACACGTAACTACAGCTCTGGGGCATCTCCAGCTCTGCAGACACCTGCACACACATGAACACAAATCATTATGAAGATTCCACAGAAATTTAACCTAGAACAAGCAAATGACTCAGCTGTACCATTCCTGTACATTCCTGTAAAGGTTTCTGTACTCTACCACAGAGGTACTTGCTCAGCCAGCCACGTCTGTTGCTGCTCCACTTACAATATCAAGAAAATGGAATAGCCTAGAGCATCAACAGATAAATAGATGTTGGAGGAGGCCACTTATTCGTTCCCGCTGTCCGGCTAGCTTAGACCCAAAATAATCACACAGAAACTGTATTAATTAAATCACTGCTTGGCCCATTAGCTCTAGCTTCTTGCTGGCTAACTATTATATTAATTTAACCCATTTCTATTAATCTGTATATTGCCACATGACTGTGGCTCACCGGGTAAAGTTCCCAGCATCTGTCTCTGGTGGCTCCATGACTTCTCTCTAACTCCACCCCTCCTTCTCCCAGCATTCAGCTCAGTCCTCCCCACCCAACTAAGTTCTGCCCTGCTATAGGTCCAAAGCAGTTTCTTTATTCATTAATGGTAACCACAGCATATAGAGGGGAATCCCACATCACCTCCCCTTATCTGTTTAAATAAAAAGGAAGGTTTTAACCTTAACATAGTAAAATTACATGGTAAGGTAATTACAGGTATCAAAAAATAATTACAGTTACAATATTTGTATCTATTTTTATTTTTTATCATAACTAAGGAAAACTGTAACTATAACTATAAATTTTTTAACTCTATCAAAAACTCCAGAAGGATATAACATGACCTAAGTAAACAGAAATACATTGTAAGCAACTTCCAAAACTCTAGAAATAAAGCTTCCTGGACAGTCACCCAAAGTTCTTTTGTACCATTGGGGCATCCCTCTTCAGCCTTCAGGCCCATAGTATCCAGCAGACTTTTCCATGAGAGAATGAAAATGTTGTATTTATTTAACTATAAAGAAAGATACAATTATGAAACTTGTAGGAAAATTGTATCTTAAGCAAAGTTATTCAAACCCAGAAAGCTAAAACTTGAATGTTGTTCATATATGTAGATCATGTGAGTTGAGGGTAAAGGCTGAGAAACAAAAAAAAAAAAAAAAAAAACAAACAAAACCCCCAAAAAGCTAGAAAACGGTGATGAAGAAGGAAAAGGAAGTGCTGAGGGGGGAATGGGAGGAAAGGACATATGATGTGAAAGTGGGAAAAGATGAGAGCGAGAAAAAAACTAAAAATGGTCTGTTTGAAAGGCTATAGTGAAACCTAACTCTTTGTCTTTTGGCTTAATGCATAAATACTGCAGTCAAGAATTAAGAGATGAAGGGACTTAGAACAGAGAGGCAAGATAAGAGTGCAGATCTTTGAAGGAATCCACAGGGCACTGAAGGAAAAATGACCGGCCGCCACCTCTCTGGCCCCCAAAGTGCAGAAGCATGAATGGAATAGATGTAAAGAGAAGCTGTGGATGTGACATGCTAAAACTGAAATAAAATCACAACTCTGATGAGCTAGCAGCCACTGCGAAACTCCACTCCAGAGGCGCGGTCATGTCAGACAGGTGAAGTCAACATGTTTATAGTCCTGGGAGCTGAAGACAACCTCCAGGGAGATCCCTGA